CTTTAAAACTTTAAGATATGATCTTTGAAACTCCTTTTAGATTTGATCGTCAAAAGTTTCAAAGCCTTGAAAGCATTTTATTTTTCAAAGTTTCAACGCCTCAATTGTGGCGAGCATTTTATTTTTCAAAAGTTTCAAAATCTCAGTCGTGAAGAGCATTTTATTTTTCAAAGCTCCAAGGCTTCAGTTATAAGGGAGTATTTTATTTTTCAAAAGTTCTAAAGCTTCAGTTGTGGGGAGTTTTTTTATTTTTTAAAAGTTTCAAAGCCTCAGTTATGGGAGAAATTTTATTTTTCAAAAGTTTTAGGGCCTTAATTGCCGGAGAACATTTTATTTTTTTGAAAGTTTCAAACCTTTGACAAGAAAAAGCCTTTGTAATTTTCTTTTTTACTTTTCTTCACCTAAACAAAATGGATGTTTTTTTTATCTTTGTACAATTCCTATTTCACAAAAAATGAACAAAAAAGGGTAACTGTAGACACTCCATTTTATTTGGGGATTTTTCGAAATTCATTGGGTTTTGAATTTTGATTTTGATTTTGATTGTGCAATTGGGCCTTAATTGAGAAAGTGAATTTTGATTCCAAAGATTAAGCCCTAATTTTTATTTATATTTTAATTTTTTAGTTTAATTTTTATTTTTTTAGTCAAAAAATTCAGAGTCAATTGGTAAAAAAAATAAAAAAGGGTAAAAATAAAAAAAAAGAAAAGAAAATATGAGATTTTGCATGAAAAATCTTTGATTAAATTAAACTATTAGATTCTATCTCAAATTTTAACTTTAATGGTTGAATAATTTTGGAAAGACTTGGAGCTCAATTTATTGAAAAATGAAAGATTACATAAAGAATAAAATTTGGAGAGAAATCCTATATTTAGTTGAATTAATTCTTCCAAATTGAAAAAGGATTCAATTCTTATATAAGACCTTGAATCTGAGATCAAAAGGAGGCCTCACAGCAAGTCACTTCAAGATCAAATAGAGTTCCATTGAAAAGAGAGAAAATTTGGACAAAGTTTTGAATCAACGAGGAAAAATCAATTAAGCAAAAAAATTTTGTAAGAATATTTAGTTGGAGGTTTTAGAAGGAAGACTAAGATTTATAATAAGAAACATCAAATTTTGAAAGTTGAAAAATTGGCTTCAACATTGAGGTGTATGCTACTCATGAGGTAGTTCTTCATGCATGATTACTCTTTTTTATTGTCCAAAGATTTATAATAAGAAGCATCAATTTTTGAAAGGTGAAAAATTGACTTCAACAATGAGGTGTATGCTACTCATGAGGTAGTTCTTCATGCACGATTACTCTTTTTTATTGTCCAATTCTTTATTAATTTTTTTGAAACAAGGTATATATCTCCTAGCTATGATGTCTTGAGTTGATTATTTGGAAGATTAAGTGAAACAACATTCTTTCAAATACAAATTATATGATGGATGGATGCATAATTGTTTAGTGAAGATAATCTTCAATGTTTATGTTCTTTAAAGACTTTATAGATAATTCTTCTCCTATGTGTCTTTTTTTTTCTTTCCCAAATAATATTTTAAGATATTTGATTGGATTCAAATATTTGCTTAATGGAATGGTTTGATGAAATGCATGTACAATACACTTTTGTGTACATCACCTGACTGAAATAAAAGAATTCCAAATTTGTAACTAAGCTTGCTCTTAGTTGATAATACCCAAAATTTGTATGGTTGACAATAAATCATGAATGCTTTCTTGATGGTGAATGATGTTGCATGATTGTGGACCCATTTTTAAAGAGGGACTATTGTGATTGAAATTTAATGATAATCTGCTACAATAGGAGAGGTGGGATTAAATGGATAAGTTAAAAAAGGAGAACTTGATTAATTTTATATTGCTATTATTTAGAATTGTTATTATTTAGAAGAAGCTAAAAATTTTGTATACTGGAGATCCAATTGAGCCTTAATTTAATATTTAAGATGAGTGTTGAAAGAAAATTTGTTAATTTGACCTTGATCTTAACAGCAATGGTTTATTAGGGTCGGTGCCACAAGATTTTAGAGGATTAAGAAATTTGCAAAGAAATAATCTTCAAGAACAATGGCATCGGTGGGTCTCTACTGGCCAATTTGATCCTTGCTCCAAGTAAGTTGTAGGTCGTGGTATTTTCATAGTTAAAACAAGCCAACGGTATAGCACGGGCCTGCCAGCTAGTAAAAAATGAAAAAGGTAAGATTTGAACTTCCATTTTACATGGTTTTTTAAAAAATATTTTTGAGTACTCGATCAAGAAGTTAAATACATATTAATTGAAGTTGAACATACAAAAAATCACAAATAATATAACATAGGCATGCATCATTTCGTGTATTTACATGCATTAATACTAAAATTTGACGAGAACTTGTTTTCTACGCATCATTAAAATTTTTAAATTTTTACAAATGATGTTAGAATGTCAAATATATGAAGATACTAAATTTATTTGGAGCAACCCGATCATGCTCAATTACAATTTAGGTTTAGACATATTTGGCCATTTAATTTGGTTTTAGGTTAGTAGGACATATATATATAAAGCAGCTGCAGTAACTGACCTTGGCCGTTTGCCTTTTTGGGTTATTTATCCTTTACCCTAAACTAATAGGAATTAATTAATGAGAACAGTATGTAATATTATTAATATTATATGCAACATTATCTGCATAAAAATCCAATGGAATGCAAGGGCTAAGATGAATCATGCATGCATACAGAAACATATGTCAATAACATAATACATAGACACACATAGCAAACACAAGTCATCATGTCAATGGATTCTTCTCTCTTCCCCACAATGGTGTCTCCATATATGACTTCTCAAAAGCCACAAAACTTGGTACAAAAATCCTCCGCCCTCACTCCCTCCCTTTCGGTGTTATATATGATCGACACCAAACTTGTAAATACAAGGAGCTCCTTAATTCTGTTCTTAATTACAACGTTCCTCAAACGAACAAGTACTGCTCCTTCATCCTCGTGCAGCCTATCCGCATCTTTGGATGCCATGACTAATTGATGATTTTCCATTCATCATGGCGTGCCATGCAAATCTAATATTTGTTTAGAAAACTTGTAGAGTTGGTTGGTTGTTGTATTTATATCCCAAAATATTATAAAAATTGGATTAGGTAGTTTATTTGAAGGGTGGTTCTTAGATAAAAAAACCCTGGCGGTGGGAAAAGTGGACAATTACAGGCACCAACCAGTTAGCCAGCTGTACTCCTCTGTGATGCTGTTCCAATCCATCATACCTGATGATAAATATTTACCTACCTTCAAAGCTTAGCTTTGACCCGTCCCAGAAGTTGCCCTCCCTTGATAAGCCTTACGTTTCTACCTCACACTCCCCCATTGCCCATGTTTTAGGTTTTATATTTTCACGTGACAGGGCCACTTTTTTTTTCTAATTTCCTAAATTAAACCAACCCAAGCTGCACTCTGAAACCAATCCTATATTATTCCTGCAAATATGGTGGTGCTTTATGTTCACTCAACTAAGGGCTACCAAGTAATACACTAAATGGTATCAATTTTCTTGCCAAACTTCGTATATTTGTTATTTGTAGGATAATACCAAATACATTACCCCATAATTATTTTCGGTTCTATTATCCAATAAATTTATATAAGCTTGGCGAACTTAAATAGTTTTTTTTTTTTTTGAAAACTTGAATAGTTTAATATATAGTAGTAATTAAATTTAATATATTTTTTTTGGTACACGAGATTCAATGTCCTAAATATATGATCTTTACCCATAATCTCTCTTCATCCTTTTCGTCTGAGTTAAGTTTATAATATCAACACTTCAAAGTCTTTTGGATTTTCTATCTTAAAATTTTGAAAAGATAATAACAAGAGAAAGAGTTCCTAATTTTATTTCTTTTGTCACACTTCTTGTTTTCAATTGTTTATAGTTAAATTAATGACATCGTCAACTTAATTAGTGATATCTTAAACATGAGAAGAAAAAAAATATGCGTGGAGCTGTCAAAGCTGATTCAAATCTGAAAAATTCATATAATACATTTAATTTTGAACTCTACTCAATCAAATTAATTTGATTTAAAAAAGTTAACAATACAACTCAGCTCAATCCAAATTAAAATTAATCTCAACCTGAATTAATATAAATCTAAAATGATTTAGATCTAAATTATTTGAATGGTTAACTCGAAATTATATTGATTTAATTTTACAATTCAATACTTTATATCTAAATTATTATATATTATCCTATCCTATCAATTATTTTATGCACCAAACATAATAAAAATGATTTAAATATTATAACTCTAATTTGAATAATTCAAGTGTCAAATTCCAAAGACTCAAATTTAAAGACTCAAAATAATTCAAATTTAAAATGACTCTGAACACAAACAAACTCAAATTTTCTTTGAACCAAAATAATCAAACCCAAATTCAATCCTTCCGGTTCATTAACCATCTATATACTTGCATTTTGCAAGGTAATATTAAAGCTAAAATGTCTATGAAACCCCATCTGTTTTAGATTTGCTCCCCAATTAAAAAATAGTAATAGAACAGAGAAGAAGGCATATTGTTTTGCACCTTGAATATCTCTTGCAGTAGATTGGAATATTATTTTGCACCTTTGAATCTCCCTTACTAAAAGAGGTAAAGCTTAATTTGGGTATACTTAGTGATTAATTTAATCGATCATCACCTAAAGTATATAGCAGCCCACAAATTTATCTACTAAACTTTTGTTTTTTTTTTTTTTTTTTTTCAAATGATAGGATTCAAACTAAACTATGTAAATTTAGAAACATACATTTATTATTAAATAAACTCTTATCAAATTTTTTTAATATATGAAATTGATGAATATGAATTAAATTATTTTGCAAGAATTAAGATATACTAATTATTGAGCTAAGTATTCAATAAGCCCATCAAACTTTTCAAGCTAAAGTTAATATATTTATTTTATTTATATACAAACAATGCAATTTCAGAACTTAAAAGTAATAAATGAAGTCGTGTCAAACAAGCCTGAAGCATAGGAAATTAGGGTAGCATGTGATGCCCAGGACTCTGCTCCTTCCTAATTTTTTTTTTTTGGTCTATTTTTCCACAATAACTGATCACTATAAATTCAACCAAAACCTTAATCCTCTCCACTTTCCATCTTTCTTCTCTCCTATTTATACCTTCCGAAAGCGAAACAAGTAACTCACACAATCAACCTTTGGTTTAATTTCTCGAATTCTCTCAAATATTCATTCTCAATATATGGCTTTTAACAATGATCTTTCCGTGATCCTCCCTCGTGTTCTCATCGTCTCTAGACGTAGCGTTCGAAAGAATAAGTTTGTAGATTTTGTTGGTAGGTTTCTATGTATTTTTGAACTGTAATATAATTGTCTTTCTTCTTTTTTTTTTTTTGTTTGATGAAATTTTAGCTGTTGAATTTTTCAGGTGAATATCATCTTGATCTTATAGTCAGCTATGGTGCAGTTCCGGTGATTGTGCCACGAGTGAATGGGGTTCATATGTTATTAGATAGTTTCGAGCCAATCCATGGTGTTCTTCTTTGTGAAGGGGAAGACATCGATCCATCTTTATATGAAGCTGAAACGTCTGGCCTTTCACCAGAAGAATTGGAAGAAATCAGGTGGTTGCATGCAAGTGATACGGCCATTGATATAGAGAAAGATTCAATCGAGTTAAGGCTAGCAAAGCTTTGCCTGGAAAGGAACATTCCTTATCTGGGAATTTGTAGGGGTTCACAGGTTTTGAATGTTGCTTGTGGAGGTACCCTTTATCAAGATATTGGGAAAGAATTGTCAAGGAAGCTGCCAGAGAATCAACGAGTAGTGCACATGGATTATGATAATTATGATGGGCATAGACATTTTGTGGAAGTGATGGAGAATACCCCTTTGCAATGCTGGTTTAAGGATTCTTTGGAGGAAGGGAAAATGGAGATTTTGGTTAATAGTTACCACCATCAAGGTGTTAAGAGATTGGCACAACGATTTGTAGCAATGGCTTTTGCACCTGATGGTTTGATTGAAGGGTTCTATGATCCAGATGCTTATAATCCTGAAGAGGGTAAGTTCATCATGGGACTTCAATTTCATCCAGAGAGAATGAGACGGCCTGATTCTGATGAGTTTGATTATCCAGGATGCCCATCTGCTTATCAGGTTTCCTCTTTTACAAGATTTTATTGATTTGGCAATTTGTTGAACAGGTTTTTGATTCTGGTGAAAAGTTTTGCAGGAATTTGTCAAGGCAGTAATTGCTTACCAGAAGAAACTTAATAGCTCAACATCTTTAGCAAAGCCTTTGAAGCTTAGTCAAGAAATGGAAAAGAAAAGAAAAATTATAGTCCGAAGTTTCTCACTTGCAAAAAATTTGTACACTGCAGGAGGTGGGATGCATCCTTCTAAAGAATCTGAACTTCAAGCTGGAGAAGAATTTCTTGAGGTATGACAGAGAAGTAGGCATTTTAATATTCCATTTCTCCTAGAATATTAAACATAATGTGATGATGCAGTCAATTCATTCATGTGCTTGCAGTCAAACACAGCTCTTAGTGTGCAACAAGAGAATAGGCTGAAGCAGATGGGGGCAACAGTGAGAAATGGGAGCCATTACATTGAAAAACTCAAGTTAAATGAAGAAAGGGAAAAGTTAGCAAGAAATGTGATGGGGAAAATGTCAGTTGAGCAATTGTCTGATCTGATGTCATTCTACCACATGATGGGGCAGATATGTTCAGAAGTTTTGGAAAGAAAACTACATGGCACTGTAAATGACAATAACTATTGACAGTTATGATCCTGGCTAGCATGCTTTTTTTTTTTTTGTCAATAAAAGGACATGTTTGTTAGAGGCTCACTGGATGCCTGGGGTTATATATATGGTTCCCTGTCTTTCCTTTGTTTTATCTTTTTTCTTTCTTTTTGGCTTTGTTTGGATCATGGGAAATAACAGGGAAATAAGAATATCAAAGAAAATGATTTTTTTTTAGTTTGCTTGGATAGACAAGAAAAATATCAAAGTAAAATTTTTTATGGATTTTTTGTATGGTGAAATATATAAAGAAAGTAAAACAATAAAATTCAGTACTACAATGGTTTTTTTTTTTTTTTTCTTATATAAAGTATTGCAAATTTTTTTAAAGATAAAGTATGGCAATGTTATAAATGGTAAAAAAAAAGATTTACCTTTATTTTATAAGAAGGTAAAACACCTTATATGACTTGGTTTCAGCCTTTACCACTTGAATTTTGGCTCGGTTTGACATCTGGAAACTTATCTCTTTTTATATTTTCTGTTTTCTTTAAGTTTCTAATCCATTCATAAATCTCCATGCCCTATTATTTATATGATTGAAAAAAAATCATTCAAAGTATATAAATTTTTTTTAATTCGTAACCTTTAAACATTAATTTTAAAATATATCAATTGATTCAAGAATCAATAAATTATATATTTTTTGTAATTTTTAATTTTTGAATGAGTTTATTGGACCAATGATTGGTGCTTTTTAGTTACTCCAGTATGCACTATGGAGCAAATGATGATGGCAGTGGCAATTGCACCATAATTCAAGTGTTCAATGGGACCTTAATCTTATTGCTAGTTTTAAAAATCTTATCATATCTAATGGTACTTTTCAATTTCATTAAAATTAATTTCACTTTTAATAAATTGATTTGTAAATTTTTCAATGATATAATATATTCCCTCAATTTCCGTTTCTTTGTTTTTTCGAATATTCGATTTTTTTTTTTTTCATTTTTAACACTTAATACACTTAGGCTTATTTGGTTGATTGTTTTACTACTTTTATTTTTATGTGTTTATGGTTTTTTTTTTTTTTTGAAAGTTTGCTATAAAGCAAAAGCAAAAGGTAAAAGAATGAATTATTGGATCATTACCTATACAATTATAAAACTTCTAGTGAGTTTAGTATCATGATTCAAGTAATATCACTTCAGTTAAAAAATTATAAAAAAAAAATCCCACATAAAAGAAAAAAAAGATATGTATGGTTAGGGGCATCTTGATCTTTAATTTTACTTAAAAGTAGGAAGTGGATTTAAATATTTTCTAAATTTATTAAAATGCTTATTTTTTTCCCACTTCTATATAATTGTTGGTACAATAATTTTACCTTTTCTTTGAATATTTAATAACTCTAATCTTTTTAATTTCTTAATAACAAAATATTTTATTTTTTCACTCACATAGTGAGTGTGTATAAATCTAGTGTTTATTTAAAAGATTGACACATATTTATTTAAATAAAATAAGTTTAAAAGTAATTAATATTTAATTATTAAATGATATATGATAAAAGATATTCCTATAATATCTTGGTTGTAAGAATGATAATCAAATTGGTAACCCACGCTACTACTTACTACCTTGTACATCACCCAAAAAAAAAAAAAAAAAAAGCCAACCTGTAATATGTAGTCATCCGTACAATAACTAAAAACCCAAACACATATGTCATGTGTATATCGTTTGTCAGGCCACGCGCCCACGCCCCCTCTCTTTTAAGGACAGATCCCATTGAGCTGAGTTCCCCAACGCTCAAATCATCAAAAACACAAGATGAGATTCCTCGTCTAACAACTTTGTTTCGTTACGGCTGCTTCCCACCCCACGCGCCACCTCTTTCCCGTTTAGTTTCTTTTCTCTCTTATTTTCCTGTTGAGGTTTGGAGGCGGCTGTTTTTTTGGGTAATTTTAATGAAAGAGGAACATCTGCTGATGCTAAGAAGAAGATGGGAGGGGTCACGTCGTCGATCGCCGCGAAATTCGCTTTCTTCCCGCCAAATCCGCCGTCGTATACAGTGGTAGACGACGAGTCATGTGGCCGTAGGCTTACATACCGGAGGTACCGAGGAGGGACGATGTCGACGTCTTGAAGCTACTCACGCGCCGTGGGAACGACATCATCGCAGTCTACATAAAGCATCCGAAAGCTTCCGCCACTCTCTTGTATTCTCATGGAAATGCCGCTGATTTGGGACAAATGTTTAAGCTTTTTGTCGAGTTGCGTAATCGCCTTCGAGTTAACCTTATGGGGTAATTTTTTTCTTTTACTCTTTTTTTTTTCCGCACATATAGAAATTCATTGGACTACTCATAATAGGAAGTATTCTTTGGATTTGAAACATGGTATTTTAAAGTTGGAGCCTTAAGTTTTAGCTTAGAGAAAGTAGTTGGCTGCGATTTTGATTGGTGGGGTTTGTTGTGATGTTCTTGGGATTTTGGGGTTTTATGAGTGTTGGATAATTTAGGTTTTGTTTTTTTTTTGGGACAAATATTATAGGCAAATGGATAGCTGTTTTATTTGCACTATTAACTGTGAAGTGGAACTGGCTTTGATTCAGATGTCTGATTGAGGATAGTTTCAAGGTGAATATTTGGGGAAGAAGAAAGATTTGGGTTGGCTGTAAGCTAAAGTTATGCTGATTTTGCTATTTGCTACGTTGTATGATTTAGTGGTTTCACTTTAACTGGCTTCGTTTGCACAGTCTTAAAGAGTGAAAGAAAAGAAATGAAGGACAAAGAGAAGGCTTGGGAAGAATTATTGATAAAGACGTTGTTGTTAGGTTACTTAAGGTTGATATTTATTTGTTGTCTGTTCTTTACTACGGCTTCACCAGTGAGGACAGTATTTCAGTGTTCGCTATACATGGTACTGTTGATGCTTAATTGAGATGCTGTGGGACTTTTTGGTGTTTACTGATCTAGGAAGCCTACTTAAGGAATGTAGAAGAAGATCATCTATGATAGGGTCATATTAGTTATGGTTACGTGCTTGCTGTTGAGGAGGTGGATGTGATGGAATTATACTTTTCTGCAAACACTGTTATGAAGCTTTTAATGCCTAAGGAAAGAACGGATTGCATTAACCTGCAGGGAAATATCAAGAAACAAATAGAATGTGTAGACGCGTGATTAGAATGTCCAAAATTTTGATACCTTGATTGTATAGATGTGTAGTTCTTTCACTGGATGTTCTGTTTTTATAGAGTATAGGTCACACAATCATAATAGCCCTCTGTTCCACTAGAGGAACTATGCCTAATTTCCCAACTATTGAATTTTCTAGTTTTTTATCTTATACTTTGAATAATATTAGGGAGGTTTGAATTTACTCTATCATATTGCAGACTGTGGAACAATGCAATCATGACTGCCTTTTCACTATAACATTTACGAAAGTTCCTGCATTATTTTCCCATAAATTCCCATGTTTGTGATTTATCCTGCTTTTGTTACTTTCCTCTCTGTCATTACCACTTCCTGAACTATTATGTTATTTTTATTATCATTCCTTGAAGTTGATAGGATCTTGTCATTGTTGCTTGTTCACTTGGAAAAGTTGGATATAGAGTAACTTGGACCGCTGTATGAGTATGTGGAGCATAGTTTTCCTTGTACCAGCTGACAAAGGGCAAAACCTGGGGGGGGGGGGTTAGGTTTGTTTGGGTTATTATGTGGGCATATGTAGGTATGTATCAGTAGAGAAAGGTATACTACAAAATTCAGTGATGACATATCACAGGAAAAGTGAAAGAAAAGAGAAGGTAACATTCTCCTTTTAAGTCCAAATTGTAGGATCTCATGCATGATGCAATTAGTTCGGGCCATACTTTGTGCACAGTTGATTGGTAAGAGTGCGACTACATGTTGTTTGGTCAGACTGCAAAGTGATAGCTGCTCAATTTCACTAAACAACTGCAAAGTGATAAATAATAAATATCAATTACATCACTATAGTTGCATTTATGCATTGATAAATTTAAAGCATATTATCTCAAGTAAATGTAAAACGAATGTGAGCAATAACTTGTTAGCTTTTTTCACTGACAGACAATAATGATAATTTCTGTAAGGAAGTTCTTTTAGGCCTTGTTTCTATTTCTATAAAATGATTTCTGAGGAGTTTATCAGTGGTAGTTTAGTTTATTTGGACTGTTATTGCTGTACTTTTTAGTTGGGGCTTATGTATGTTGCCTTATGGTAGCAATCTATTAACAAGCTTAATTTCGTTTGTGGCATATGCTGATATGCATTCTAGTATCGTTGCAAATATCAAGGTTGGCAGCCTCATTTGGAAATGATTATCTCCTGCTGTTTTCTTTGCCAGTATTGCATTTGCTTGATGTCAAACTGTTGAGGTTTCATTCCATTTGCAAGCAGAGTGTGGCTTGAATTTGGTTGCATGATGTGATTCATTTTCCTTTTGATAACTGTGGTACTTAGTAAACCATAATGAAGGTGCTGATGATACGTATATCAGAAAACACCAATAAATGAAAAGGAAGAGAAAAAATAAGCTTGATGCTTCCTTGAAGATACAATATTTCTAAGAAAAAATTAGAAAAGTTTGCCTTAGAATTAGGCACTGAATTAGCATTACCTGTTGAACCCCCAAATAATATGAGCACATTATTCTGCTTTGGGAACTTCGTAGGATAAGGTAAACTAAAGAGTCTTCCTTCCATCCTTATATGTATTGCTTTTTCCAAATTTATGTTAGTTATGATGCAAGATTGAACTGCAATTCAAATAAATGAAGAAACTTTCAGCAGCATCTTGACCTGCCTAAGACTAATGAACAACATTCTCCTGTTTTTATGCATTTAAAATTTTTAGGAAAGTCTTATCCAAATTGAAAAAAACTTTAGAAGTCTTATCCTATAAAAGTCTTCTTGACATTGTTTCTAGAGAAACATCACATGATTGCACAGATAATGAGAATTCCTGAAAGTAGAATATTTAATCATCTGCTTTCTTGACAGGTCTATTTTTAGTCTAGTCTTTTCTTATATTTATTTATTTTTCTAAAATGTTCCTAATTTCACTCATTTTTTTATAGGTATGATTACTCTGGCTATCGACAATCAACTGGAAAGGTTGGTCACTTGGTTTCTCTTTTCTTAGTTGCTAATGCTGGGAGCAAAACTTGCCCTTA